AAAAAAGTAACGACAAAAATTATATACAAAAAATGCTATGGAGTGTCCGCTTTGATGACATAAAAGTTCTTTATTAGAAATTTATTTTCATGGCGGCATTTTGATGCAAGCTCGGTTCGTTTGTTAAGTAAATTTAATGGTGATGTAATAAAGTGGAATTTTTCTTGATATCATATTTAACCTTTCTAAGAACTCTTTTAAACCTTAGAAAACCAGGTGATAATCCTTTATATATTAACATCAATTCCAATCATCCACCAAGCATTATTAAACCGATACCAAAAATGATCTCTAATTGAACATAAAAACATCTTCAAGCAAAGAAGCTTTTGATAGAGCCGCACCATTTTATAATAAACACTCTCACTTTTTCTGGATTCAAAGTAAGATCAATTTCATTCCAAATATCCAGAAATATAATACAAAATCTCAAAAAAGAAACGTTATCTGGTTTAACCCACCTTATTCACTCATTCACACACATTCAGAACAAACGTATTCACACACATTCAGAACAAACATAGCCAAAACATTTTTGAGTACAATTGATAAATGTTTCCCGAAAGGCCACAAATTTCACAAACTTTTAAATCAAAACAACTTAAAAGTTAGTTATAGCTGCCTTCCAAACATCAAGAGTATTATTACTTCTCATAATAAAAAGATATTATTTAGTTCTCAAGAAAATGCCAATCAATTATGCAATTGTCGACAAACCATCTTGCCAACTCAATGGAAAATGCCTTACAAAAAATCTTATTTATATTTGCAATGCAAAAACTCATCAAGAAGAAGAAGGATATTATCACGTTGGGCTTACTGAGAAAACTTTCAAAGACAGGTGGTATAAGGCATAAAAACTCCTTTGTTTATGAAAGTAAGGCTGATTCCACTGAACTTTCGAAATTTGTGTGGGAATGCAAAAATAAAGCTAAGGAACCTATATTAAAATGGAATATTCTTGATCAAGCAGAGCCATTCAAACCTGGTGGTAAATTTTGCAATTTATGCTTGACAGAAAAATACCACATTATTACATCACCATTAAATTTGCTTAACAAACGAACCGAGCTTGCATCAAAATGCCGCCATGAAAATAAATTTCTAATAAAGAACTTTAATGTCATCAAAGCGGACACTCCATAGCATTTTTTGTATACAATTTTTGTCGTTACTTTTTTGTTGTTGTTACATCTGATGATCGCTATTGCGTGAAACTTTAAGCTATGTAATTGAAATATATCTTAATAATTATTTAGTTTTCACTATATATATATATATATATATATATATATATATATATATATATATATATATATATATATATATATATATATATATATATATATATATAGTCTTGTCTATATATATATATATATCTATATATATATATATATATATATATAGTCTTGCATAGTAGTCAAAACGTTTTTAATAAACCAGACCAGAAATTGGTTACGACTGACTTGAATGCCGCCCACGCATCTTTTTCAATAACACTTAGAATGTCATGAAAGTGTTAATCAGCCATAATTTTTTTATTTGAGGACCAATAAACAAACCTTCTTTTACCTTTGCATAACTTAAACTTAGGAACTTATTGCGCAGGTGCTGAAATGCAGCAGAGTCACTTTCTAATTTTTTGACAAAATTTTTCAAAATTTTTCAAGTCCCCACTGGATATGAAGTGGTGGCATGATTATCTTGTCACAATCAACCAAAGTTGGATGAAGAACATTTTTATTTCCTGGCTGCAATCTGTCTCTGATTGGCCAATTCTTCTTGATGTAGTGTTGATTCCTATTTTTGCTGTCCCATTTGCATATGAAGCAGCAGTACTTTGTGTATCCTGACTGTATTCCTATTAAAATAGCTAATACTTTTAATTCACCGTAAATACTCCAGTTGTACTTGCGGAAATGAATTTTTTCAGAAATTGAGACATCTCTCTTTCATGTAGGCAGAATATGCAACTGGTACTGATGCATATCTATTTCTATTTTGCAACAATACTGCGTTTAAACTCTTGGATGAGTCGATCAACAGTCGCCATTCTTCAAATCTGTGTTCAACTTCTAGACATGACAAAAGGCTGTCAACATCGGTGCAGAAGAAAACACTGTCACTCATGTCAAAGTACCGAACAAGATTTTTCTGCCTGTGACGAAAGTTTGCTGTTATTTTACCTGGTGCAAGCAAATGAAATTCATTCAAGCAAGAACCAAGCAGTTCTGCTTGGGCTTTTATAAGTGCCAGATCTCTTACTTGGTCGCAAAATTCAGCATAATTAATCAAATGAATTCCTTCTCCGGCAGCTTTGTAGTCAGAGTCGTCTGCAAAAAATGAAAACTTCTGGTTGCCATATTTTTAGCGAATCACCACATTAACTTTAATTTTTTTATGTTCACATCAAGTTTTATGTTCCTGCAATGAATACAGAAGAAGTAGAGTTGGAACTTGCAATTATATTTCCAATCAAACAGTACAACATCATAACACTGTTTTTATATATATATGTATTTATTTATAGGTATATGTATATATTCAACAATATCTTATAAATTTGACCTGATGAAGCAAAATAAATTTCAGATTTTAAATCAGCATAAAATATTACTTAAGAACACTTAATGACATTCAAGAAACACTCAATGACATTCAAGAAACACTTAATGACATTCACAATATTACAAAATATTCAAATATTATAACACAAAACATTCAAATATTATAACACAAAATATTACTTTAGATATTTATTAATGACATTCCACAGCTTGTTTTTCAGAGTTATCATAAGAAAAGAAATTTATTTTTAGTTAGTTTATAAAAACATCCTGGTTAAACAGAAAGAACAACCAAGCTTAATACCAGCAACGAGAAATTTAGATTACAAAATTCATTTAACTAATCTGCAAACTCTTGAAAAAAAAAGGAAAAGAAGCAACTTGATACAATATTTTAAAACAGTCAAGGAGTTTATTCAATTTAATTTGTATCATAGCAATGCTCTATCACATTCCCTATCAACTATCCCTATCCCTATTAGGACCTGCAAGTAATGTTTGAAGATCAAAATTGTCAAAAAAAAGCAATTTATAAGAAACCAAGCAAGATAGAACATCCTTACAAAAAGAATTGTATTCTTATGAAATAAGCTACCATTGTGAGTGATTGATTCAAAAAGCATAAACAAATCAAGAATTGATATGACAAGTTTATGGCTGCCAAACAGGCATCTGCTTAAGTCTGCTAGACATACTTTATGAAAAAACTTAATTTTTGTTTTATTTTTCTTGTTGCAAATTATTATACTATATTATGTTGTATTATATTATATTATGTTATATTATATTATATCAATTAAACAATCAATCATTTATTTCACTTTATAAAGTAAATACAAAGTTAGGATCAGTAACAAATAGTTATTTAACTAACAAAAGTGTGACAACCTACAAATATTCATTATAAATTTGACAAAATGTATAACATATTACATAATAATATCAGATAATATTATAATAATAAATATTATAAATAAAAAACAAAAACAGAAAAAAACAAAAAAAACCTTGAAAATAATTAAAAAACAAAAACAAAAAAAGGCACTTAGAAAAAAAAAGAATCTAAAAATAAAAAATAACAGGCTTTTAAATAGAACAATAACAATAAAGTAACAAGAACATTAGCAATAGCATGTTATTTAGAAAAGAGGCAAAAACAACTTGAATTTTACAAGTACAAGGGATAAGGTCAAAACGACATGAAAAGTAATTATTGAGATACATAACACATCAGAAGATTATATTATAAGATTTATTATAAGATTACATATTAGAAGATTTAAGAGATTATAGAGGATTTTAGAGTCAATTTTATTAGATTGGAAATAAACTATTTTGAGTGGTTTGTTTTGAAGGCTTTCTATGATCTTTGTATACTATGACTGATTTTGCCCCTATATCTGACCCAATAAAGCATATGCGAATTAAATATAGCATACCATATATTTATGAGAGTCTCATAGCTAACAAAGTGCCTGATCTTTTCCAACACTCCATTTGCATGGATGAGTTTAAATGTAGTCTGCTTCAGATGGTGTGTGAAGGAAGGGTTTTCATCTAACATTATTCCTAAATACTTCATTTGCCTAATAAGATTTAACTTTTAGCCACTGATTCAGAAATTTACTTTTTTATGAATTTGCACAGAACATGGTTTAAATAGAATTATTTCAGTTTTTTTGCATTAAATCTTAACCATTGAACCAAGCAGGCCAAGTTGTAATTAATGTGTTGATTTATTTTTCAAGTGATTTTTCAGTTATTAGGACATTAGCGTCATCAACAAAATGATATGTTTTTGAGAAATTGATGTATGTGTTTAAGTAATTGATGTAGATAAAAAAAAGGAGAGAGCCAAGAATTGAACTTATAGAACACCTAAAGATATTGATTTAATATTAGAAGAGATATCAGATATTGTAATAAATTGAGAATGGTTCAAGAGGTATGACTTAAACCATGAGTGAGCAACTCTTCTGATACCAAAATGATGTAACTTTGATAATAAAATTCCATGATCCACAGTGTCAAATACCCTTCTGTAAGTCAATTAAAACCCCACAAGTAAATGTGTTATTTTCTAAAACTTTGCGTATAATTTTAGTTATGTCTATGAGTGCTTGGTACAATGTTTTTTGTGAAATCAAAACTCTGCAAAATCCAAAACCAAAAACTCTGTATACGTTGCTTACAAAGACTGTTTGATCAATCCATGCTGTAGACAATTTGTAACCTTATCTTTGTACCAATTTATATAACTGACTTCAATGCATTCTTCATTTATTTTTTTTATTTTTTTTTTTGCTTTGGATGGTAGCAGCATTCGGTTTTTAGATAAGTTAGCACAAAAACTACATGAGAGTAAAAGGCAATCTGTAGTGAGAGGGCTGCAATATATATATATATATATATTAAATATACAGTACAACAAACCTTTCTAATTTGAGCATCTTTGGAAAAACAAACAACAAAGTTTGAGAAAATCGTACGAAAAGTTACGATTCCTTCATTTTCTTTAAAATTTTTCAAATGTAAACAGGTCATTTTTATTAAAATCTATAAAGTTTTTTAAAATATCTCCTCGTGTTATATTTAATATTTTAATGGGTTTGTTATTGTATTAAGCTGTCCTGATGAAGCATTGAACAATAGCTTTTCGACAAAGTTGATTTGGAGTTTACACGATGACGTCAGCCCTGCAATCTGTATCGAATTATTTTTTTGCTTATAGCAAAAAAAGTTAGTTTTTGTAGATGGGTCCATTCCATGTTGTCGCGGTCGTGACATTTCTACTTCAAAAGGTGAAAATATAAACAAGAAACTTAATAAACCTTTTTTTTTTGGTAATGTATACATTTGGTCACATACTACTACCTGAAAAAAATAACAGTAAATTTTATGCTATAGTTGCATCGCGATGTCAAAATAAAATCAGCCTCGCGGTCAAAAACAGAAACAGAACTTGTTTAAATAATTTTATTTTTTTGTAGAAAACTTTCAACGAATAAAAAATTTAATTTTTTTAATTATTTTTTAGAGGATGATGTATACAATTTTGTTGTTGTTGTTGTTGTTTATGTTTTACATAAAATGGTAGCTAGCAAAAAGTCGAGGTCATGACAAAATGACAGTCGATCGTGAAAAAATATTGTGCTATCAGTAAACGTTACATTTTAGGCATTTTTAAAGTATATTTTAGTACTGCAAAAATATATAAACATTTCAAACAATGTTTATAGTTGTCCTTAGAAAAATAAAAGATACATCAACAAGTTTTAATAAAGTAACAAATCACTTTTTTAAATTCCAATATTAAAAACATATTTAAATAAACCAAATAAATAAATATACTAAATAACGATTTTTTGTTTGCTGTGTTATTGGTCTGATATTTGTTTCATGCTAATAATTTCATTCTTAACTTTCCAGTAATGATAAAGTAATGATAAACTTATCTTGCTTTAACTTTTTCCCATGCTATTCTTTTTAAAGTTCGTCCTACCCCATCAATGGCTCCTTTTCTGTAGACTGTAGCAAAAAAATTCCACTAGAAAGTTGTTATGTTAAAAGTCACTTGACAATACTTTAGAAATTTTACCATAAAACGGTTTTTAAATTAGAAGATGGGCCATCATTTTAAAACGTTACTTTGTGTATAAAAAATATATATTTAAAATGTTTTGTATCCCTCAAATATAAAAATAAAAGATACAAAAATTGAACTGTTTATGAAAAATACCTTTAAAGTTAATTCAGGGAACACTGATGCATGTTTTGCTGTGATCATTTTTATAAGTTAAATAAGCATTACCATAAATCTTTACCATAAACAACAACAGTAAAGATTGTTGTTTGCAATTGTCTCCAATAAGCACTTTGAACTTGTTCTTGATAAATAAAGCTGTAGTTTTGGCTAAAATCAAATTCACCATTCATAATATTATCTATTTGGTGGCCATAAACAGACGCTTGATGACGTTTAATTAAATGGTGAATCCGAAATTAAGGTACCATTTTCAATAACTCTGCATACGTTGCTTACAAAGACTGTTTGATCAATCCAGGCTGTAGACAATTTGTAACCTTATTTTTGTACCAATATATATGACTGACTTCAATGCATTCTTCGTTTTGTTTTTGTTTTTTTGCTTTGAATCGCCATTCATAGCAAAAAAACATTTATACATTCGATTTTTAGGTAAGTTAGCACAAAAACTATATGATAGTAAGAGGCAATCTGGAGTGAGAGGGTTGCAAAAAATCCATTTGTTTAACCAGTTTGTGTTATAAGGCCTAAAATTAAGGTTTGAGGGTAAAGCGTTGCATATATTAATAAAATTTTCATGAATTAGGTTTTAAGAAGCGTCTCTGAGTATGTGAGTATTTGAGCTGGACAAAGTTCACAAAATTTGGTTGAACTTTATTTTGCAACTAAATACTTATGCGTACAGGACATAACATTCCCTTAATTTAAGTAACAAGTAATATTTTTGAAATTTTTCACCATCAATTTTAATAAAGTTTTTCATATCTGGAGTCCATCGACTTCTTCGCGGTTGTAAAATTCTAGTACATGGTTAAATACACTAGAAGATAAACGGATACGTTTTTATCTTTGATATATCTGGTGAAGAGATATTCATATCTATTGCTGACTGTTTAATGACATAATCTGCTTTTCGTGGCAACTTTGGTAAAGCTAATTTAACGCGGTTCACAGCACGAGCTTTTGACGAACTTGAATGATAGACGACTTCTTCCATTTGACTAGAAGAAGAACAAGGAATATTAAAGATACCTTGAGTTTTTTGAAGATCTCTGTGTTTACCCTGTCGTAATTTAGCAAGCTCCTTTTTTTTTTCAATTCTTACTATAGCGTTGATTATTGGCAACGAATATTAATTCGCTCTTTTTCTATTTTTTTCAGTTTAGCTTTCTTTCTTTCTCTATAATCTTTACAAACTTGTTTCTGTGATTTGGGCATTGCCCAGTGAGAATTTGGCTAGCGAATAGCTAGTTATAATCGTAACGATGAAGACAGCGATTTGGCCAAGAATATCGCTAGCTTTTTAAGTTAGCAAAACGTTATCGATATTTGTAAAGCTAAAGACCTACTGACTATTGTAGAATTGTTATGTAAAATATTTCAAATAAGCTATATTTTAAATTAGTTCATAACCTTTAAATATACAGTTAAATCAGTTATTTAAATTACAGTTTTAAATAAATAAACCTTAAATAAAACACGTGTTTTATTTAAGGTTTTTTTAATTGAATCTTCTTCCTTGACGCATTTGAACATCAAAAACGACGCATTTAAACATCCAAACGACGTACAGTGACTCAAAACAACAACAAAAATGGCAATAAACCCCTCACAACTTTTTTATAAACTAAGTGCTCTTTTTTAAATAATATTAAATGCCAACGGTTTTTTATTTCAAAAGTAAAAATAACTTTTTCATAAAACATTTATTTTGTGTTTTATAGGTAAAAGAAGTAAAAAACTTTGATATTATTTTTAAAAAAATCTCAAAAAATGCGAGGTTTTTATTTAACTAAATCAGAGAATTTGAAATTTAAATAAAAGTGTATATTTATTTTTAAGTTAAAAGTGTATATTCATTTTCCAGCTAATTAATATTTCTACTTTAAGAATAAAGGGATTACTGCGGTCTCCAGCAGTATTAGAAGTTATTAAAGAAAAACAAATGTTGATGAACTCATAAAAACGTTGTTATCCGCCATTTTTTTTAAGTATTTTATTATATCAAAACAAATTGGCGGGAAACTTAAATTTAAGTTTTTTGCTTGTAGAACTTGTTTTAATATAGTTTTTAAATCATAAATATTAAATATAGTTTTAAAAAACGTGCTTTTGTCATTATAAGTTTGTCAAAATATTCAGTGGCGGATTCAGCATTTTTTGAACTTAGAGGTAGCTAACTTCCATACATGGAGCAAACTCCAAACTCTTATATGTTTATAATTATGTCAAATAAAGGTGCTTTGCAAAAAATTGCGATGATTGGAGATTGGGAACAAAAAAAGCCCCAAAATTTGCGCCCCCTCCTGCCCAAAACATGAGAGCAACAAATTGATGAAATAATTTTTATACTATTTTCAACTAGACTTATATTCATCGAAAAATTTTAAATTTCATAGTAAAATAATTTAGCGTTCGAAAATTATGACCATATAAAGTTTTAACCCTCCTCAATTTGAGGGGGTTGCAAATTTTATATGGTCATAATTTTTGAACGCTAAATTATTTTACTATAAAATTTAAAATTTATCGATGAATATAAGTCTGGTTAAAAATAGTATAAAAAGTATTTCATCAACTTGTAGCTCTCACGTTTGAGGCAGAGGGACGCAAATTTTGGGGCTTTTTTGTTCCCAACCTCCAACCATCGCAATTTTTTACAAAGCATCCTAATTTGACATAAATATAAACACATAAAAGTTTGAAGTTTGCTCCATGTCCGGAAGTTAGCTATCTCAAAGACTAAAAAATGCCTAGTCCGCCCCTGAAAATATTTATTGTTAATTTTGAGGAATTATGTCCAATAAAATAGCCATTTTGGTTTTGGAAGGCCCTACAAACAATGGAGTATTCTTGGAGAGCTAAGCAAAAGGAGCAAGATAAAAGAACTAGCCACTAAACATCGTGTTTACCTTTACCCATTGGGCATTTCGACGTCGAACGAACGTCGAGCGACGTCGGATCTCGACGTCGGATCGACGTTGGGTTTACGTTGGAAATGGAAATGTTATTTGACGTCGGATAAACTGACATCGCGCGACGTCGGCATTCTGATGTAAATCCAACGTGTTTTTTGAAAACTAAAAAACGTTGCCTTTGGCAGGAATTGAACCTCGGTCTATTAGATACTAAATCCTACGCGTACCACTACACCACAAGGGCATATTAATTGATGTGTTTATTTAGTAATGTATACTTGTAGCTATTTGGGAATTATTACTTTGATAAGAAATAATTTTGTTTAAATATTATATAAATATTAAAACGAATAGTTATATATTATAAAAAATGTATACTCGAAAATGTTAATAGTTAAAAAAACTATGCTAGTGCATCATACAAAACCTCATGATGTTTTACACGGCTGTTTCAAGGTGGACTTACGGCTTCTTGTTATTTTTTCAAAATAATTACTTAAGTGGTGTTACTAAAACTTGCATAACTTTTGAAATATTTAAGATAATTTCGTTCTGTAAAAAGAATATGAACACCATATAAATGTTTTATGTTATAACATTTAATGAAAGAATCAAAGACTGCTTTGATTTTCAAATAAATGCGATAAATGACGAACTTGGCTAAATTTCGAAATTTTCAAGGTACTTTTTAGCAAAAATAATCGGAAAAGTTATATTTCTGTTGAGTTATATGTAATATAAACATAGTTAGACCAATTTGAAAACATATATACTCAATTTACACCAAATGTGAACTGATACAGGCACTACAATTAGCGGGGAAAAAAAATACGCAAAAAATAATTTATTTTTTTTAAAAAAAACTATTTTTTTAAAAAGATTAAAAAAAAAGTTTTTATTTGTTTTTTCTTTCGGTCGTATAATTCTTTACACTTAGATTAATATTAATACTTTTCTGTAGAAAAATAACACACCATTTTTTTTA